CCGATATCTTCATCATTTCACTCCGTCTCTCTTTCAGTTGCAGTTCAAAAGGCCACACACACACACACACACACACATACACACACACACCTTCACCTTCACCTTCTTTCCACTAACAAGCTCCTCCATATTGTGTGTGTAGGCCACACGGAGAGACAGGGCTGAGACCGCCTCATGTGTCGGGTCTCCTCTGTGTTCTGGTCCCCACCCACCCCCATCCTCCCAGCGTCAGTGGGATGTCCCAGGTGTGTCTCCTCTTGGCCTTGCTTTTGCTCTGCAGCTGCACAAAGGTACGACTCATAGTGTCTCTTTCGTTTTCACACACCACAAGGAGATGTTACTTTGATCTAGAAAGATGAAGGTGTAGAAAATGTGATGATGGTGTTGCTGAGACTTCACGAGGCTTGATGACGTTTCCTCTTCTTGAAGGTCTTCTCTACAAACTCCCTAGAGCTTGTGAAGGAGAAGTGGAGCAGCTACAAAGACCAGTGCCTGGACTACCTCAACGCCACGCCCCCTGCCACCGGTGAGCCCCTCTCCTCCCAGCATTAGCATGTTTCTGCAGTAGAATTAAGTAGCATGATTTCACAGACCTGCTCTCCGCTGCAGGGCTGGTGTGTAACCGGACCTTTGATCTGTACGTCTGCTGGCCTGATGGACTCCCAGGAACAACTGTCAATGTGTCCTGCCCATGGTTCCTGCCATGGTACCGCAAAGGTGTGTTGACAGAAAATGCCCACAGCCAAGGTGAACAAAGGATCAAAATACAAGACAAGTATAGTAACACTTGATCTCAATGCTCTGTATGAGTTTTGTGAGAGCTAATTGAGCCAGATGTTTTGAAATAAATGTACTGTTTTTAAACGTGGCCCCCATTTACAGTTTTTTTTCATTCTTTACCGTAGAGGAATGTGAACATCTTTTTTATATAACACAGTGTTATTAGTTGTGGGGTTGAGTACTCCTTTAGAAATAGATGATATAAAAGATTCATTTTATTTTGCCTGCAGGAAATAGTTGTGTAGCAGTGGCAGCATGGGAAAGAGTGCAAATATATCTATTAAAAATACACAGAATATGTCAGTAAAGTGCCATATGCAACAATGTGATAAATGTGACCAGGTTTACATATAATGTCATAAATATAACTGAAATGATATGTCTTTAATTAAAATGAGCAATTTCAGTATACAGAAATGTTCCTCCTTTTCAAACTAAAGCTCTTCTTTAACACACCTTAGTGGAAATAAAGGGACTTGTATGTAACTGACTTGAATTTGTTTGAGAAATACAAGGACGCACTGAGGGGCATGAGAACACGTGCTCTTTTACATGTTTTCATTAAAGTCATTCAGTCAGTTAAGCTCATATGTCCTTGTCATTTAGTAAGATAAAAGAATCCTTCTGATGAGTAATAAATGCAGTAGTGAGAAGAGAGTGGATACGTCATCAACTGGTGTGATACGTATCAGTCAGCTACCACTCTCATTATTAACCTGAAAGTGGTGTCAAGGCTTCAAACAGTGTCTCCTGTGATTCATGTTCCCTAGGCTGTCAGATAGATAACTGTTGATACATGAAGCATGAGGCTCTAAGATTTGCTGCTCTTCCTGCATAGAATTGTTATTTTTCATGTTCAGGTTTCCCTCAGGTAGCAGGCATTGCATAGGTGTGAGAGGAGGATTATACCTGTTATCTAACTTTTAATCCCTATCTGATCAGATCAGATTTGGATTTTCGGGAGTTCAAAACCAAAAAACAGGATTAGGATCACTTTGATATCCGACCAGATCAGGAAATCCAATCCAAGCTTTAATCTGAGTCAAATCTTCAAAACGGGTAGTTCAAACCGACAACACAGGATTGGGATCAGTTTGATCCCAAAAAACTGGATTATCCTGATCCCACCAGAGGGGTGGATTTCCAGTGGATTACCAGAGCAAAATGTACTGTACCATTTATTTAAAAATATTTTTCAATATAAATAAGATGGCAAAGTTTGTTAACTGAAATAATACACTTTTTTTAGCCTTCATGGCAAATCAATTTTATTTTTCATTTTTCGGTCACGCTTGTGGTGGCCTATTTTGTTTTCAACCAAATGTTGATGACATAAATGTTTATGCTCATGAAAGTATCACAACAAAGATTGTCAATCACAAATGTAATTTAGATTAAAGAAAAAATACCTTCAACAATAAAAATGTCCATCTGTCATCACCTTTCAAAAGTAATTGCGGACAATAGATGTCTGCAATGTGGTCTCTTGTCTTCCTTGTATTATTTTTCATGTCCACTAGATGGCGATCGGTAGGATTAAAGCACTGATATTCAGGATCTAGTCA